GACTGCAGGTACACACACACACACACACACACACTCACGCACAAGCAGTACTGCACACCCACCCGTTCAGACCCCTCAGCAGTACCCTCCCTCTGCCACTTCAGGTCTCCTCACCTCCTGCCCCCAGGACCCTCCTGGGTTGTTTATCTATTTTAACTGTTTGTCTCCTGACTGCCTCACCTCCAATACTCCACTCTTGCCAAGACCTAGGCCCCTCTCTGGCGCACTGTCCACACCTGGCTCTCTGGTGTCTGGCCCTATCCATCTCTTGGCTCTCAGGGGTGGGAGAGTGAACCACACTGCTCAATTCCATTTTCTTTCCAGATATCACAAACGCTTTCTGGTCGGGACCCTGAGTGGTTCCTGCTGCAGCCTTGCGGAGGCCCTATTCTTTGACCCAGTGTCCAGCATCTCATAAATTTGTTTAGGAAAGGGGCCTCAGACCTGGAGTGTTTCTTATAGCCTTATCTCTAGGATTGGGTTAGTTTTTAACTGTTGGAGTGCCAAAGTGCTCCTTCAATAGAACAGCACCCTGCTGTCTCCTGTGACCCTGTGAACTAAGCCCAATCGAGGTGAAGCTGCCACCGTGAGCTAAAAGTTTCAGAACCACTAACTTCCTATTTTGACTAACTGCACCTTCCAAAGGGGAAGAAGGGATGCTCAGAGAGAGCAAATGATTTGCCCAAAGCTGCACAGCAAGTCAATAGCCTTCCAGCTACTTCTCAGCACACAGTCTCATCACGGAGGCTGTGGAGAGAACTTAGGAGGCCTAAGGACAATCAAGCTTCCTGTTTGCTACAAGTTTGACTTGATAGAAAGAGGTCCCGGGGCTGGCTGCCCCACCCCTACATCCTAGCCCACGTGCACATTCCTGCCTCTGGCTAGCTGCATATATACACTGTAGTTTTCTGCCAGGGCCCGCTGGTTCTGATGTCTCTGACTTCTGTCTTCTCCCTTTCATGCCAAGTCTCCAGCTTCTCACCATATTTTGCAGGTTTCTCAAGCTCTTCTTTCCTTCCTTCCTTCCTTCCTTCCTTCCTTCCTCTCTCTCTCTCTCTCTCTCTCTCTCTCTCTCTCTCTCTCTCTCTCTCTCTCTCTCTCCGCAGTGACTTATGTATCCCAGGCTGAATTCCACTCCTCTTCTCCACTGGCTCCTTCAGGGTGCAGTCATGGTTTGACACCTCTCCAGGAAGTTGTCCCTGATTCTCAGTCCGGTACCTACCTCTTCTGGACATTCATAATTCTCCATTATAGACGTCTTAACAGCAGTAAGCACAGACATTTCTGCCTCTTCCCTTGCCCCAGCTACCCATGCCGCCTCTTGGTTCCCACTTTTCCAGTATAGGGCCTTTACAGGGCTTTTGCTGTGTCTCTGTCTGTAAAACTCTTCCCCAGGTCCCTTCAGAACTTGTCTCCAGCCTGGCCTCCTCAGAAGCCCTCTCTCATCACTGTAGAAGTCTGGGACACTCGCTCCACCTCTTCCTCCTCTGCTCTCCAGGTACTAGGTACCACTGGCCCGCTTTTGTCTGCAGCTTGCTTGCTTAGGGTAGCAACCATCTGTGTGTTTTCCATGCTTTGTTTCAGACATGCACTAGGATGTTAGGAGTATGCATCTTGGAAAAGGAGACTTCTCTACATGTCTTCAAGTTTCCTGAGAAAGGCAAGGGCTCCTCTCCATAATGGAGAGGACAGAGCTGTTCATTTATGTCCTGTTGACTGAACTCTGCTTCCCTGCAAGGGTGGCTGGGAAATGTAGTCTAGTCCAGTAGCTGGAGTCCACAAAGGAAACAGGAAGAGTGGGTGGAAAGCTGCATAAAATGATTACTCAATATTTTTGAAATGAATAAAAGTATGAATGAGTGAGATGAATGAAGGAATGGTTGAGCATTCATTAATCCCAAGATTTATTGTGGGACCTTGTGGTGGTTTGAATGAAAATCTTGCCCATAGGCTCAGATATTTGAGTACTTGGTAACCAATTGGTGGTGCTGTTTGAGTATGTTTAGAAGGTGTGACCTTGTTGGAGGAAGCATGTTAGTTTAAAAGCCACACACCATTCCCAGTTCTTTCTTTCTCTGCCTCCTGTTTGCAACCTGTGACATGAGCCCTCAGCTCTCAGCTTCTAGCAGCATCCACCATGTCTGCCTGGCTGTTTCCACCATTATGGACCCTAAAATATTTTGGAACTATAAGTCCAAATAAACCCTTCCTTCTATAAGTTGCCTTAGTCATGGTGTTTTATCACAACAACAACAAAAAGTAAATAATACCTAAAGAATTTTCTAATCCTTTGAGCCCAATGAACCCCCCTGGGCCTTCCAGAATCTGAGTTTGAGTATTTAAGCCCCAAATTCAGGATCCCTTTCCTCCCTTAGCTGCTTAGAAGGTTTGATGTTATCTCTAGAGGTTGTCTGGGCATCTCACTTGGCCATCCAGACCCTCCCCGAGTACATTAAGGAGGGCATTAAGGCTGGGAATGCTGGTGGTCTGTTTAGGAGCTGTGGATCTGAGGTTATTACTCAGGGACTACTGGGCAGCGTCAAGAGTAATGGCTTATAGCACAGAAGAAATCCTTTGAGACTGGAGGGCTCAGGCTTCCTCCCTCTTCCACACAGCAGCCACTCCTCAGCCATGGTTTTCTTTTCCACAGTTTCAGGTGATGTCAGTTGACAGAGTCTTCAAATACAAAATGGAAAATTACAGAAACAAGTATTCATAGGTGTGAGATTGTGGCCTGTTTGCACACCTCCTGTTTAATCTGGTCCTTGATTTGAATGATACCATTTCCTAGTATATCTGCTCTGTATGCATCACCTTCCTGTTAATCACTTAATTGACTAGGCAGTGCTTGTGTTCAAGTCAACATTATGTCATTTATTAATGGTCCCTAGTAGTGACACCAGTGATTTACATATGCCAGAGACAAGCCAGGAAGTGCTTCCTTTAAAGAGAAAGGTAAACATAAAATAAGCTATCTTGAGGGAGTATGTTATATTCATTTGACTTTTATTACAGTAAATTGTTACTTTTTTCCTCTTTTTTATTAACTGATGTTGTTAATCCTGTGCCATGCCTGACTTATAAATTGAACTTTATCATAGGCTAGTTATATAGAAAAAATATATATAGTATGCTTTGTTTGAGACATGCACTAAGATGTTAGGGGTATGCATCTTGACTGAACTCTGCTTCCCTGCAAGGGTGGCTGGGAAATGTAGTCTAGTCCAGTAGCTGGAGTCCACATAGGAAGCAGGAAGAGTGGGTGGAGAGCTTCAACCAGAACACCTGGACTTCCCATCAGGCTGAGCACAGGCTCCCTAGAGCCACTCCATGACTCCTGCTCAGATGATCGACAGCCCAGGTTTGCCAGCGACTGCACTGTTTCCAGAATGCTGTGTTATCTCACTGCACAGAGCTTGGTTTTGGCATCACCACAGTCAAGATTCCTAACAGAGCCACCACCACCACAGGACTCCCACATGGTACCCTCATGGCTCTGCCCTTCCTCTCCCTCCTCAGCACTAATCCCTAGCAACCACTCATCTGTTCTCCATCTCTGTAATTATGTCGTTACACAAATATTATGTAATGGGCTTGCGAAGTGTGTACAGTTTGAGACCAGCTTTCTGCACTCAGCATAACTTCCTTGAGAGTCACCCCATTTTGCTCATGCGCTACAGTCGGCTGCTTTTTATTCCTGAGTAGTCTTCGATGGTGGCGGGCATCAAATGGAGTAAACCCGGCAGTTTACTCCATTAAAGGCATTTGTATTTTCAAATTTTTCTTATTATGAATAAAGCCATCTGTTTTTTCTATGTGCTAGATAAAAAGTGCTGTGTTGGATATTGTGATTTTCAAATGCTTTCTCCTGCTCTGTAATTTGTCTTTTCATCTCACGAGGCTCTCTCACAGGGCAAATATATTTAACATCAATGGGGTCCCATTTATCGAGGTTTCCTTTTTATAAATTATGCTTTGTGTTCTAGTTTGCTTTCCTGCTGCTGAGACAAACCAAAAGCCATCTGGGGGAGGAAAAGGTTTATTTCAGCTTACAGGTTACAGTCCATCATTGAGAGGAGCCGAGACAGGAACTCAAGCCAGTAGCTTGAAGCAGAAACCATGGAGGAACACCATTGACTAGTTCACTCTGTCAGATTTATTATACAGCATAGGGATGGCATTGCCCATAGTAGGCTAGGCCCTCCTACATCAATTAGCAATTAAGAACCTGTCCTATATACATGCCCACTGGCCTGCCTGATGGAGGCAATTACTCGATTGAGTTTCCCTCTTCCAAAGTGATATTGACAACCAAGATTAGCTATCACACTTTTAATTTTCAAGTCCAAGAACATTTTCTAGTGTTAAGTGCCAAAGGCTATAGTGGGAAATTACCAATGCGGAGTCAGGTAGAAATATAAGGGTATTTAATAGGGAAAAGCCTTACTTACAGAGCAATCTAGCCAGCTGGCGTGGTAGAGGTCTGTACAGCAAGAAGCAAAGAGAAACCGAAACCGAAAACGCAGTCCCACTATGTCCCTCTGACCACACCCTCACAAGCCTAGTCAGGCACACCTGTAGCCAGCCCCTAAGAAGGCGTGGCTACAGCTTTCCCTACAAAAGGCTTTTTTCCTATGAT